CCCCACTAACCCCACCACATCTGACACCTTTCCCTGCAACCACAGGAAGTGCTACACCTGCCCCTACACCTCCCCCCTCACCTCCATTAAAAGCCCTAAGCAAACCTTTCATATCCTGCAGGGGTTCACTTGTACTCCGCCAACTTGGTCTACCATATCCGTTGCTCTCAATGTGGTCTTCTCTACATCGGTGAGACCAAGCGTAGACTCGGAGACTGTTTCGTAGAGCATCTGCGCTCTGTATGCGATAAACGGCAACACCTTCCGGTCACCAACCATTTTAACTCTCCCTCCCGCTCCCACAGTGACATGTCCATTCTGGGCCTCCTCCAGTGCCACAATGACACTACACGCAAACTGGAAGAGCAATACCTCACATTCCGCCTCGGGAGCCTACAGCCCGATGGCCTAAACAAAGAATTCACCAGTTTTAAAATCTTCCCACAACCCGCTTCATCCCATGTCCAACTGTCCCTCTCATCCCCACCTCCTTGACCCGACACAACCTGTCCATCTTCTCTCCCACCCATCCCACTGACCAATCCCCGCCCCTCCCTACCTACCACCATCCCATCTACCTTCCCCAGCCTCACACCTCTTCTCTATTTATTTCCCAGCTCCCTTTCCCCCTCCCCATTTTGAAGGGTCCCAACCTGAAACGTCAACTTTCCTGCTCCCTGATGCTGCCTGACCTGCTGTGTTCCTCCAGCTCCACACTGTATTATCTCTGACTCCAGCATCTGCAGTTCTTGCTATCTCCATGAAATTGGATTGTTGCCTTAAAATCATTTCAAAACTATGTGTTGCCTTAACGACCTTACATTCTGTGAAGACTTCAGTTGTATGCCTATTTTGTAGAAACTCGGCATATGCAATGTTGCCAAAGCTCTGCTTTGTTCATACACAAGATTTGGAATCAAGGATTTATAACAGTTGTAATCAATCAAGGCAGGGATGAGAGGGAGGGTTGGACACGGGATGAAGCAGGGTGTGGGAAGATTTTAAAACTGGTTATAAAGAACTTCTATGCTTGGTAAATAGCAGCCATTTATCTAAACATACAATCCTAAAACATGATGGAAAAAAAACAAGATAACTCACTCCTCCAAAGTTGTGTACTTCATGTCATTGCAGAACATTTATAAGGTGAATCATCATTACACATTGTAATGACTTACACTCAGTCTTGGATTCGGCACACATTATCACAGCTAAAAACAAATTATTTGGAAATGTTTAGAACCTAGCTATATGTAAATTGACTGCATGCTTCCTACATTATAACAGTAACTAAACTTCCAAATTAGATAATTAGCTTTGAAATACTACGGGATATCTTTCAGGAGAAAACAGCACTATTATAAATGCCATTTTTTTCTTGTAGAATCTGTCTGGGCAATTTTGTAAAATTTTGTTTTCTTTTCTTTAGTATTTCTTGGGATGTGGGTGTTATCAATAAGGCCAGCATTTGTTACCCATTTCTAATTGCCCGTACACTGAGTGACCTGCTCAGTCAATTCAGTGGGGCAGTTGAAAGTAAACCACCTTGCTGTAGCTGTCAAGTCACATGCAGGCAGACTTCCTTCCTTAAGGGATATCAGTGAAGCAGATTTATTAACTGAAATCAAATTCTACAAAACATCTGTGGAGGAATTAAAACCCATATTTCCAGTGGAAATACGAATTACATCACGACTCAATCATCATAGAACCCCATTCAGCCTAAGAAGTGCACACCAACCCTTCAAAGAGCATTCCACCCAAACCCATTCCCTAAACCTGCACATCAGCATTTGTAGATAATGCAACTAACCTAGACTTCCCTGAACACTATGGGTAACTGAGCATGGCCAATCCACCTAATTTGCACATCTTTGGACTGTAGGAGGAAACCAGGGCACCTGACGGAAACCCACACAGACATGGGGAGAACACACAAACCCCACACAGACAGTTGACCGAGGCTGGAATTGAACCCAGGTCCCAGGCACTGTGAGGCAGCAGCGCTAACCACTGAGTCACCGTGCTTCCCCCCATGACTAACTTTTTTTAAATTCACTTGTGGGACACTTGTCCTTTCTGAAAAAGTGTTTTAGTCCATAAGTGTTGAAACAAATTAAGCATATCTAAGCTAGATGTAGGAAAGTTGAAACTTTTCAGACAATGTTCCTTTATTTCCTTTTTCTAGGATTGTTGGATAATCTTCTTTTACAAATACGAATCAAGTTTTCAGCATTCCCTATCTGGCTTGTTCTGCAATCTCTCCCACAATGAAAAAAATGGGCAAATCCTGAATTCTCACAATGACCCATAACATCTCAATCAAGTATTAACTTCAGGAATATCTGAGGAAATACCCCTCATGCTTTTAATGATTTTTTTTTTACGATATACAGGAGAAAAAAAAAGATTTGTTTTGGACTGCCTCCAAAAAGGGCTGGCATTGACATACCGGGCCAGGTGACCTCTTGTGCACTAAACATCTATGAATCAAAAACAGTACATTCTTTGGCTTACCATGAGCAATGGATCAGGGGTTAGTTATACTAATAGAAAAAGAGATTGCATTCATGCAAATCACACATGTATTTTAGTCATTCTAGTCACCTAGGCATCCTCCTAGAAAAGTAAAACAGTGGATAGTAACACCTTCAAATCCATACCCATTAGTTCTATGAAAACAAAGTGCCCAGTTATACAAAATATGCCCAACTACTCTTTCATATACATGTTTTAGATAAGTATGTTCTCTCAACATATACTACATAAAGAGTTGTCTAGACTGGTAGAAGTAATCAGTTGAAAGCATTATTGTAAAATTATCATCACCATCAAAAGATACTGTAACTTTGAATAAAGTTACAGTACTTCCCTAAATCAAGGATTGTCTGCTGGTATTCAAAAAACTATTCCTTCATCAACCAACACCATTAAAAAACAATTAATTAAATTGTTGGCTGCTGCATCAGTCAACACTCCAGAAGACACAGAGCAGTGCAGACCACCAAACATTAAAAGAAGACTTGCACCTATACAGCAACTTTCAGGGCTTCAAGACATCTCAAAGCACTTTACAGCTAATGAACTACTTTTGAAATGTAGTCATTGTCTGTTGTGATGTTGGGAACATTCCTGTTTTGCAGTGACCCTTGGCATACATATTGCCACTATGAAGGTGGATTTTCTGGATTTAGGAAAACCATCTCATTAATGCTAGTGTCCTACTGGAACTAGGTCTATCAATAATCAGACAAAGCCCCAGCATAATAAACTTTGTCAGACTGACCACTGTGACCAAAAATCACCTCCCCACCAGTTCCTGTTTCCTCAATTTTCAAATGAGAAATAATCCAATGGAGGCCAAAGAAAATATTTCATAGACACTCTGAAGCTCTCCTTAAAGTGCAGCATCATTGACCTCAATGATTGTGAGGGCTTTCCATAAATCATTCAGAATGGTGACAATTCATCCACCAAGTGCCTTGATCTATATGTCGAGAATGACACATAAAGTTCAGACACATTAAGACCCATTGCATAAACTCATGAGCCTGAAGAGATATCATCCTGAATGGTGGAACAGATGACAACAAGGACAGTTGTTGAGCAAGAAATACAACAATTGATTTGTTCAGAGTAAACCACGCCATAAAGAACAATGTGCTAGTGGTCAGCTTATTTGGTTTGTGATGTTGCCTGACGGATAAACATTGGCCATGACACCACAGAGAACATCCTTCCATTGTTCACAATAGTCTTTATTCATTCATGGGATGAGGGCATCGCTGGCTAGGCAGCATTTATTGCCCATCCTTAATTGCCCAGAGGGCAGTTAAGAGTCAACCACATTGCTGTGGGTCTGGAGTTACATGTAGGCCAGACAAGATAAGGATGGCAGTTTTCTTCCCTAAAGGACATTGGTGAACCAGATGGGTTTTTCCAACATTCGACAATGGATTCATGGTCATCATTAGATTCTTAATTCCAGATATTTTACTGAATTCAAATTCCACCACCTGATTCGTCCCCAGAAGATTATCTGGGTCTCTGGATTAACAATCCAGCAATAAAACCACTAGGCCATCACCACCCCTAACAGTACAAATTTTTGATCTGAAAAATTTTCTAAATGTGTGGCACTCCCTGTCTAATGGCATTGGAGTGTTAGCCCAGATTATTGTCAAACCTCAAGTCTCTCGAGTGGAACTTGTAGCCCACACCGTTTGATCAGAGGCGAGATGGCTACACACCAAGCAAAAACTCATAATTTAAATTACAGCAACTTAATACCTTGCTATGTATCAGACAGTGCAGTAAGTGGCACTGTCCATTCGTGTTTAAAATTGAACCATTCTCTCCAAACGTCTACTTCTCCCAAATGGTTTTATATGGAACAAACGTTTAATAATTTGCTTAAAAGCCAATAAAAAACAACAAACGTCTACCCTGTCCTGATTAAACGTCAGTCTTTAAGCCTGCAATGCCCAAAGTCTGAGTTTGGACTTGGTGAAGAAGAGGGTTTACATGATCCCTGGCACCACAAAAGTATGCAATAGCCAAATAAAGGGTTAAGGCTCTGCAGGCCCTGCCTGCTCCATCACTCACTCATGTCCTTATGCTCAAATACAAGAGCGCAAAATAAGCTAGGAGCCAACGGCACTTCACACCGACAGAAGCCAATCGTAATAAAAAAAATAAGCTGAAGGAAGAGAGCAACTGAATAACCTGAACACCGCAGTTGTCTGATGAAGAGAAAATGAACCGACAGTCAGAGCAGATTGAAAAAACACCCCAGTCAATCAAGCTTGAATCTACCTCTCAGCCTAACTTGATAGCGACCCAAAGCGCCCACCCCTCTGCCGCCTTGATTGGTTCACCTACAAGGGAATCTCATGTCCATTGGTTCCAAGTGTCATCAATCACTAGGCCTACCACCACACCTAACTAGTTTGAACCGTCAAAACCCGCCCCCACCCCTTCAAATGGACACCGCCCCAATCCCGTCGCGGATACCGCCGATTGGACGAATGACGCCAGACAGCCTCCCGCCAAAGCTGGCTTTCAATCGGCTGGAGCTGGCTGTCAATCAGATCGCGACTTGGCGTTCCGTTGTTGGAGGGGGTCGGGGAAGAGAGACATCAGATGCGCATACGCATTTACTCGTTGTCCGTGTGGGGGTGGTCTGTTCAAAATGGCGGCGCCCTGTCTGAATCGTTTGGGAAGTTTGGAGTGAAAGTGCCGGTGTCGGAGAGGGAGAAGGACAGAGAGGAAGATCGTGAGCAGTTCAGTTTGTTGGTCCGCCTTCGTACTCTTTCCCCTTGTTTCTTCGGATCCTGCTGTAATTTTTGAGACCGAGCTAGTTAATTGTTTGTGGGGAAGCGGCTTGAGCTGGACGGTCGGGGAGAGAGGGAGGTTTTCTGTTTGACTGTGGAACCGAGCTTGGTGTAGTTTGAGGCCGGGCCTCAGCACCGCCTTAGGTAAGAGATCGAGCGAGGTGGGCACATGTAGTCAGCGGTGACTATTGCTGTTGTACCAGAGTTATGTTCACTTTTGGGCTGTGATCTGCAACCCCAGCCTCCTATGAAAGCTGAGCCGACTGCTGTTTAGGGCCTCCAGCCCCTTTGGAGGGGACAGGGATCAATAGTGGGGTTTATATCGCAGTTTCACATCTACTGATTATACCAACCCCCACACTTCACAGGTTCAACGTACCACCCCTCCCCTATCCCTCCCCCGGCCGAATTAAAGGGATATAATTTGTTTTTAAAAAATCCTTTCGTGCGTCGTGGGTAATTTATCTTTGAACCATTATCGGGAAGCGAGGGCTAAGGGTGCACCATGCTTTTGTTGTTTTGAGGGAGCTTTGTAAGAACATTTTGGGTCGTTTGGAGCCGCTGCTCCCCTTAACTGCTGCTGTTGTGTTATTGAGGAAATCTGATCACTCGTAACACTGATTAATTGTATTGATGAAACGTTAAATTATTTTAATCTACACTGAAAATCAATTTGGGAAATCTTTTGTTTGGATCTTCTTTCGTAGAATAGAACACAAGAACTAGGAGCAGGAGTAGGCCGTCTGGCCCTTCGAGCCTGCTCCGCCATTCAATAAGATCATGGCTGATCCTTTCGTGGACTCAGATCCACTTACCCACTTTCTCACCGTATCCCTTAATTCCTTTATTGTTCAAAGGAAATCTTTTTTTTAAAAGCGTTTACTGAAGTAGCGTCAACTACTTCACTGGGCAAGGAATTCCACAGATTAACAACCCTCTGGGTGAAGAAATTCCTTCTCAGTTCAGTCCTAAATCTGCTCCCTCTAATGTTGAGGCTATGCCCTCTTGTCCTAGCTTCACCTGCTAGTGGAAACATCCTCTCGACTTCTATCTTATCTATTCCCTTCATAATTTTATATGTTTCTATAAGATCCCCCCTCAATCTTCTGAATTCCAATGAATATAATCCCAATCTACTCAGTCTCTCCTCATAAGTCAACCCCCTCAACTCCGGAATCAACCTAGTGAACCTCCTTTGCACCCCCTCCAGTGCCAGTACATCCTTTCTCAAGTAAGGAGACCAAAACTGCACACAGTACTCTAGGTGTGGCCTCACCAGCACCTTGTACAGCTGCAACATAACCTCTCTGCTTTTTATTTCAATCCCTTTAGCAATGAAGGACAAAATTCCATTTGCCTTCCTAATTACTTGTTGTACCTGCAGACCTACCTTCTGTGATTCATGCACAAGGACACCCAGGTCCCTCTGCATAGCAGCATACTGCAACTTTTTACCATTCAAGTAATAATCCTTTTTACTATTACTCCTACCAAAATGTATGACTTCACATTTATTTACATTGTATTCCATCTGCCAGACCTTTGCCCACTCACTCAATGTATCTATGTTCCTCTGCAAAGTTCCACAGTCCTCTGCACACTTTGCTTTGCCACTCATCTTAGTGTCATCTGCAAACTTTGACACCCTACACGTGGTCCCCAGCTCCAAGTCATCTATATAAATTGTAAATAATTGCGGTCCCAACACCGATCCCTGAGGCACACCACTAGTCACTGACTGCCAGCTAGAATAGCACTCATTTATCCCCACTCTTTGCTTCCTGTTAGTCAACCAATCCTCTATCCATGCTAATACTTTACCCTTAATGCCATGCATCCTTATCTTATGCAGTAGCCTCTTGTGCGGCACCTTGTCAAAGGCCTTTTGGAAGTCTAGGTACACCACATCCACTGGGTCCCCATTGTCCACCTCGCTCGTAATGTCTTCATAGAATTCCAAAAGATTTGTCAAGCATGACCTGCCCTTCATGAACCCATGCTGCGTCTGCCCAACGGGACAATTTCTATCAAGATGCCTTGCTATTTCTTCCTTGATAATAGACTCGAGCATCTTCCCCACTACAGAGGTTAAGCTAACCGGTCTATAATTCCCCATCTTTTGTCTACTTCCCTTTTTAAACAGCGGCATCACATTTGCTGTTTTCCAATCTGCTGGGACTGCCCCAGAGTCCAGCGAATTTTGGAAAATTACCGCCAGTGCACCTGTTATTTCTCCCGCCATCTCTTTTATTACCCTGGGATGCATTCCATCAGGGCCAGGAGACTTATCAATCCTTAGCTCCATTAGCTTGCCCAACACTACCTCTTCCGTAATTATGATTGTTTCCAGGTCCTCACCTACCTTTGTCTCTTTGTCAATTACTGGCATGTTATTAGTGTCCTCCACTGTGAAGACCAATACAAAATACCTGTTCAATGCCTCGGCCATTTCATCATATCCCATAACTAAATTCCCCTTCTCATGCTCTAAAGGGCCAACGTTTACTTTAGCCACTCTTTTTCATTTTATATATTTATAGAAACTTTGCCTATCTGTCTTTATATTCTGCGCTAGTTTTTTCTCATGTTCTATCTTACTTTTCCTTATAGCTCTTTTTGTGGCTTTCTGTTGACCTTTAAAGTTTTCCCAATCTTCTAGTTTCATGCTGTTTTTGGCCACTTTGTATGCCTTCTCTTTCAATTTGATAGCCTCCCTTATTTCTTTAGACACCCATGGCAGATTACCCCTTTTCTTACAGTCCTTCCTTTTCATTGGAATATACTTTTGCTGAGCACTTTGAAAGATTGCTTTGAAAGTCCTCCACTGCTCGTCAACTGTCCCACCATAAAATCTTTGTATCCAGTTTACTTTAGCCAAGTCCTCCTTCATTCTATTGTAGTTCCCCTTGTTCAAGCACAGGACCCTTGTATTGGATTTTATCTTCACACTCTCCATCTGTGTTCTAAATTCAACCATACTGTGATCACTCCTTCCAAGAGGATCCCTAACTATGAGGTCATTAATTATTCCTGTCTCATTACACAGGACCAGGTCTAGGATAGCTTGCTCCCGCGTTGGTTCCATTACATACTGTTCAACAAAACTATCACGGATACACTCAACGAACTCCTCCTCAAGGCTACCCTGACCGAGCTGGTTCGACCAATCTACATGTAGGTTAAAATCCCCCATGATAATTGCCGTACCATTTTTACAGGCATTAGTTATTTCTTTGTTTATTGCCCGCCCCAATGTGATGTTATTATTTGGTGGCCTATAGACCTCGCCTATCAGTGACTTTTTCCTCGTAGAATTTCTAATTTCCACCCAAATGGATTCAACCTCATTCTCCATAGAACCTATATCATCTCTCAGCACCGCCCTGATGGCATCCTTGAATATCAGGGCTACACCACCTCCCTTACCTTCCTGTCTGTCCTTCCGAATAGTCTGGTACCCTTGGATATTTAACTCCCAGACGTGACCATCCTGTAACCATGTCTCCGTAATGGCTACCAAATCATATTCATTCGCGATGATTTGTGCCGTTAACTCATCAACCTTGTTACAAATGCTACGAGCATTCAGGTAAAGTGCCTTTATGCTAGCTTTCTTACCCTCATGATTTCCAACATCTCTAATAATATCTCCTGAGTTATCCTTCCTTTTTGCTTCTTTCATAGTCTGCCTTGAACTTAAACCCTCCTGCACACATGCTAACCTGCTGCTTACCTTTTTAGTTACCATCATACTCCCTGTCGTTTTCCCTTTCCCTTCCCCCCCAACTCACTAGTTTAAAGTCCGAGTGACCACCCTTCGCAAGAACACTGGTTCCAGATCGGTTCAGGTGGAGACCGTCCCATCGGTACAGATCCCTCTGGTTCCAAAACTGATGCCAATGCCCCATGAAATGGAACCCCTCTTTCCCACACCACTCCCTTAGCCACGTGTTTACTTCCCTAATTTTCTTATCCCTAAGCCAATTTGCACTTGGCTCGGGCAGTAATCCGGAGATTATGACCCTCGAGGACCTGTTCCTTAATTTTGTTCCTAGTGCTTGATAATACCCCAAACAGGTCCTCCATCCTAGCCTTGCCTATGTTGTTAGTCCCAACGTGGACCACAACAACTGGATCCTCCCCCTCCCGCTCCAATATCCTTTCAAGCCGGTCAGAGATGTCCTGCACCCTGGCACCAGGCAGGCAACACACCATGCGGGACTCCCGATCCGGCTTGCAAAGGATACTATCTATCCCCCTAACGATAGAATCCCCTATAACTACCACTTGTCTATTTGCTCCCCCCTCTTGAATGGCCTTCTGCACCATGGTGCTGCGGTGAGCTGGCTCATCCTCCCCGCAGCCCTTTTCCTCATCCACACAGGGAGCAAGTATCTCTTACCTGTTGGATAAGGTCAAAAGCTGAGGCTCCTCCACTCCTGAACTCAGGATTCCCTTACCTGCCTCACTTTCAGTCACACCCTGTTGTCCCTGATCACTAACTGAATTTGAATTACTTAATCTACCAGGTGTGACTGCCTCCTGAAACAAAGCGTCCAGGTAACTCTCCCCCTCCCGGATGTGCCGCAGTGTTTGAAGCTCAGATTCCAGATCTTCAACTCTGAGCCAGAGTTCTTCCAGCAACCAACACTTGCTGCAGATGTGGTCACTGCCGTTCACAATGGGATCAGCCAGCTCCCACATCATACAGCTACAGCACATCAGCTGCCCAGCCATCTCTACTTAGTTAATTACTTTATTACTTTATCTCAATTTATGAGTTAAATACTTTCTAATACTTCTCTGCTATGGTCCTTTCAAATAACCAGTTAATATATAAATAAAAACGAAGCAAGTAAATTTTTAACCAATTACACAATACAGAAGGAATAGAAAAAGTATAAAAACCTTACCTTACCAACACACCACAGAGTCCTTTTTTTTTGGTTAGAGGAGGAGGGCGGGTGGGAGACACTACACGTTTAGTGTCTCGGGTTCAGCCGCTGCCCAAATATATTCCCGGCAGCCCCCTGGTCCTCGCTGTCGCCTCTCTCTCTCTGCTGCTGGAAAAATGAAGTTATGAATGTAATGTATTTTTTGGCTGATTGCTTCAGAAATTGCTCTCCAAGTATATCTGCTGTTGTACAGTTGGAAGTGTCATTATGTCTGGGCCAGAACACCTGGGTTCAAGTCTTGGGTTCAAGAGGTGTGTCATAACATAGTTAATATTTTGACCCAAAGTTAACTCTCTTTCTCTCTCCACAAATGCTGCCAAACCAGCTGAGTTTCTCCAGCATTCTGTTTGTTTTAGATTTCCAGCATGTATGGTATTTTGCCTTTATTTGTGTGTCATAACGTCCCTGAAGAGATTGATTAAAAATACCTATCCACTGTGATATCACAATATGGTGATGCAAACTGTTTTCAGTGTTTTTAGCAGTAAACATTAGCTGGGACACCCCCACTCCTCTTCGGTAGTACCTTTTGGATCTTAGTATGGGAGCATGCGAATGGGCCTCAGTTTTATGTCTCAAAGCAGTGACAATTCTATCAATGCAGTGACAATTCTATCAATGCAGTACCTCTCAGTAGTATAGTGAATTCTTCAGTATTAGGTTTTTCAAACACTTGATGTCCACAACACTTTCCACTAGTAATAAGGTGAGTAGAATGTTGAAGCACCCTTGCCAAATGAAAAATGAAAGAATGATATTTATGCATCATTTCCCTGTCTCTTGACATCGGCCAACTCTACAGAATTCCAAGGTCTTAACACTCCTCCAATTAATACCCATTGAGCAATCTGAGTTAAGTTGCTCTGCTGATAATAACTGTTCTTTCTCCTGTCCAGACCAGACCCTAAGCTGTGGATCTCCCTCCATAAATCTCCTCAACTCTTACTCACTTCCTGAAATAAAAACAGAAAATGTTGGAAATACTCGACAGGGCTGGCAATATCTGTGAACATAGAGACAGAATTAACATTTCAGGTCATAGCCCATCATCTTTTTTCTATGTCACTCCATAAAACGTACAGCTGTTTGTTGCAATAGTATCCTGCTCAATGAGAAAGGAATTGCATTTCAACATTGACCAAGATCTTGGCCTTTTCCTAATATCACTTTATGGCTCAGTTGTCTTTTCTGCTTTTAATTGGGACTGTTAGCATTATAACCTAGATGGTTGTCTTGAGAAAGGAATTCCAGACCTTGTGGTCTTGGGGCTGAGGGCAGTCATATACTCATGAAAATCCGGGGAGTAGAAACCAGAGTTGGCGGAACACAGGAGCCTTGTGGGGTGAAGGGGTGTGCTTGTATGGCTTAACTAATTTGCAAAGGATTTGTCTAACTTAATGGAAAGAATTTTAAAGATTGGTGTCATACCACAATAGTCAGTCATGGAAAATGAAAATGTTAAGTTTGAGACATTGAGTCAATGCAGGTTTGCAAAGATTGGGTGAGTGGGAGCTACTGTGGGAGAGAATGTTGTTCTAGATGAACCAGTTACAATATCTGAAACATGGGCTGGTAAGGTGAGTATTGGATAATTGAGTCTGAGTGACAAAGACCAAAAGAAGGATTTCAGCAGTCAATGGTGGTCATAGGCACTAAGTTGGAAATGTGCAGTCTTTTGTGATGGGGCTGCAGCGGGATCAGAAACTAAGCTTTGAACCAAGTAGGAGACTAAGTTGCAAGCAGTGTGCTTCACTCAAAACACTTAGTGAGAGGGTTGGATGCAGTCAATGTCAAGGAACTGGTGATACCAAATAATATCCTAAAGGGCAGAAATCGCACAATTCCAGAACAGTAAATTATGGAAGGCATTCAAGTGTGAGACCACTTAATTCGCTGAAGTTGACAAATAGACTAACAGTTTACAATGGAGACTATTTTCCTGTGATCCTTAATGAGTTGCTTTCTATTTTAGCTGAAGTAATAAAACAAAGTTTGTAGGTATACTCTGAACCATTTAATCTGTGATATAATCTCAGTATTTAGTGGCACCACACATAGATTTGTTAAAATAATCATATCTTTCACTTAGTCAGAAATTAGTAAAGAAAGTTAAAGTTGGCAAACTCATTTTTTGGTACACCATTTATTTCGAATGCAGAAGTTTAACTTGTTGACTGATTTCAATACCGTCAAGTTAGCATGCTTATCGTTGACCTTTGTTCTTACCCGTGGATTCCTTTCAGTCACAGCATCAGAGCTGAGGGGTGATGATGTCAAGTTTGTTTCCATCTCAAGGTAGAACCTGTCTACACCAGCATTATAAGATGGGTTCGTAGCAAATCAGCAGTCATTTATTTTTGAAGATTAATTTCTTAGTGTCTCTCTTTTTGCTTTTACTTGACTTGATATTAAAAAAAAAACTTTGGCAACATTTTCCAGGCCAATAGAAAAATACAAACTGACATGGTGAAAAATTGCCTAGTATTCACTGAGGCCATTTGTGTTGTTACTTTAAACTACTGTTCAATTTGAACTATAGAAATAACTCCTATTTGTTTTAAAGCATGCAGCATTGAAATCTATTTTTCTTATGGTACAAGAGTTATTTTGAAGTTGAAATGTTGGTCCTTGTGCTGACTTCAATATAGTGTTTTCTGGAGGACTTGTAGTTTGTGTGATTTGATTGGTTTTATTATTAAAAAAAACCCTTGCAATACTAAAAAAAAATCCAAAGAACTGCGGATACTGGAAATCCGAAACAAAAACAGAAATTCCTGGAAAAACTCAGCAGGTTTAGCGTCTGTGGAGAGAAAGCAGAAAGATCTGAAGAAGAGTCACTGGACCCCATCTTTGACTCTGCTTTCTCTCTGCAGATGCTGCCAAACCTGCTGAGAGTTTCCAGCAATTTCTGATTTTTGTCTTTTCAGTACGAGTTGTGTTGCCAGTTATACACTTGACAATTAAACTTTTAAAGTAAAAGTTTGATTTCTGATTCCAGGTAAATGAAGGAAAATAAGGAAAACTCCACCCCAACAACAGCACTGGCAAATGCGGACCTCAGGAAGCCATGCTGGTATTGGGATAAAAAGGATCTGGCCCACACCCCATCACAACTAGAGGGACTTGATCCAGCAACAGAGGCACGCTACCGCCGGGAAGGTGCCAGGTTTATATTTGATGTGGGAACACGTTTGGGGCTGTATCCTTTTCAAAATTTACACATTTGAGGTGTCGTTGGGGATGACTGAGAAATAGGATGCTTTTCTCTCCTCACAGATTGTCATGCCTGTTGTCAGGATCTTCTACTCTTTATCAAGCCTTGCCAGGCAACTATAGAAAATAAAAACCAAAAGAACTGCAGATGCTGTAAATCAGGAACAAAACAAAAGTTGCTGGAAAAGCTCAGCAAGTCTGGCAGCATCTGTGAAGAAAAAATCAGTTAACATTTTCGGGTCTGGTGACCCTTTCTCAGAACTGGTAATGAGATATGTTTTGATCCAAATCTAGTTGCCTAGCTCCCTAATAACACAAAATGCTGGAAATGCTCCACAGATATGGCATCTCTGGTTAAAGGAACAAAATTAACATTTCAGTTGTCCTTTCACCAAAACTGACAGCCCAAAATAAATATTAAGCTGCCAAAATTTGGGTCTTGACCTTTGGATATGTGCCTTACTTTAAAGTTTGATATTTGTTTTCTGTTATGTTATTTGGCAGAAACTTAGTGATTTTTGTCAGCACGGTTCAGGGATTGGGCATGGAACCTCCCAGTCCGCATGATTGCGGAATGAACTGATCTGGAAATGTGTAGAATGGACAGAGGAGATCTAAAGGAAAAGCTCTAGTGTTGATAGTGAGACCCACATGTTGCTATTTGTTGCAGTAGTACTTGTGAAAGAAGCATTGCCTCTCGCATAAGTACGTTGTGCATCCTCATTACACTACCATCCCACTCCTATATTTCAGCTTTGTTCAGAGTTGCTGAGGGAAATCATTTCTAACCAAATCTTTCTTTAACCAAAACTACAAGACATTATGATACACTGGCCACAGGAATAATCTATTTTCATCGTTTCTACATGTTTCATTCTTTCAAGCAATTTCCGCGATACGTAAGTACTGACAGTCATTCCAAATGAAACCCAACAGCTTTCTAATGTGAAGATAACATGCATGCATTGCTTTGTTAAAGCTTCCTGAAAACAATAAACTTGTGTTGTTGTAAATAATGGCATTACACAAGCACACTATAAAGCAAACTTTCACACAAAGCTACATGAGGTGATATTAGTGCTGTAAATGAGAAGCTTGGCTGAAGAGATGGGGTTTAAAGAGCATTTTGAAGAAGGAAGGAGAGTTAGAGGTTTGAGAAGGGAATACTGGAGTATGGAACCGAGGCATGGCCATCAAAGGTGAAGGTATTTAAATCAGGGACACCAAAATTGGATAAGCAGACATTGTGGGATGGGGGCAGACTCCCAAGGGCATGGAGGGCGGAAAGGGATTTGAAAATTGAGGGGTGGCGGGCCGTGCATATGCATCTTAAATCTAGGCTTTTGCTTAACCAGGAGCCATTATAGCTCAGCAAGCACAGGAGTGATGGGTGGACAACACTTGGTGTGAAGATTGATGTGGGCAGCAGAATTGTGTATGACATTAAGTTTTCTGTTGTACACCAGAGATTACCACTGTCTTGGGGTGATGAGAGCCAACCAATAACTAAAACCATGCTGATAAGGGCCACAGATCCTGAAACTACTGACAAACTCCAATTAGTAGTATGTCTCCTTTCAACTGCGTGAATAATATGTTTTAAGATTTACAGCTGAGGTGTGGTGCTTTGGTGAGCCACAGTCAGACAGATTCGTGCTTGTAATATTCAAATTAGTAAAGCTGAGTTGTGGCTAGTTGTAATAGTTTGTGACAAGAATAAGTGGGTATGTTTAAGCTGAGGAAGTAGAATCGGCCATAGATGTGAAGAACCTTTACCTACCTGAGAAAGTGATTATTATTCAGTTAGGATTGCTATTTTGAAAAGAGCAACCTATAAAGTCAGGTTGTATGTACAATTAGTTTAGATCTACAAGGTAAAATCAGTGAAGTGTCTTTAAAGGAAACCCATTCCTGTTCTTGTTTCCTTTGTTGCTGCAATTGTAATTTAGGTTATTCAATATTACCTGTGATCCCTCCTCTATATATATTTTGTAGACTAGACCAGATTAGATTAGTAGGTTTATGTCTAGATGGTTTTTGTCATTTATTGTCCTGTGTGAAACGTGTGCTACTCGTGAGAAAAAAAAAACCCGCAAGTGGTTGTATGTTTAATCGTGGGTTGTGACTATGAATAGGGATATTGATGTGCAACAACCAAACAGAGTGCATTCTTCATTTCTGCAATGATCCAGCCCATAATGATTAATTTTAATGATAAATATTTGCTTAAAAGTAAATGTTAGTACTGTAGTTTAAAATCCATCTAGGTCTGAACTTCTTACATCTGTGTTCCAGAGTATGTTATTCTTTATCCATGCGTCATTGTATGTGCATCTCCAGCTTAATTGAGCATTTGGTCAATTTGATTTTGTCCTACACCCACATCAATGGAGAACCTTTTCATTGTAATCTTATAATAAAAATTAAGGTTGAAATATTATCTATGCTGATATTGTAGAGCTTTGCCATACTCAATGGTTTTCTTGTCTGGTGTATTTTTCGGTTGCTCTCCGTTGATTGCTTGGCCTTTCAGCGGGTACAATTTGTCGCTATATGAAGCAAACTCCTCTAAAATCAGTAGCGTTGTCCTGCGAGACTAGTTATGGAACAATATTGCCGCAGGTTGGATAAGTAACTGAGGGAAGAGCATGGGATTAGAACATAGAACAGTACAGCACAGTACAGGCCCTTCGGCCCACTATGATGTGCAGAAATTTTACCCTAATCCTAAGGTCTATCTAACCTCCAGCCGTACCTTATACTATCATCCATATGCCTATCTAATAGCCTGAATTCGGTAGGTTGTTCAGACTTGCTGCTCTCCTATGACCCATATCATTTTAGGATTGGCTGTGGCACGTTCAAATGTGAGCACTTGAAAAGCGGTCTCATAGCACGGTAGTGTCCCTGCCCATAAACCAGAAGACCGAGGTACAAGTCCTACCTGGCCCAGAAATTCAGAATAAACTCATTTATCAAGAAATTATTTATGAAGTCACAAGGAAGGACAAACAGTAACTATGATGCAGAAACAAATTAGTGATGGAAGGGGAGTGAGCATTATTGCTTTAAATGTTCTCTGTATGATCAGTGTAATTAGTTTGAGGGCAGCACACTGGCTCAGTGGTTAGCACAGCTGCCCCACAGCGCCGGAGACCCAGACCCAACCCCAGCCTTGGACGACTATCTGCGCGGAGCCCGCACGCCGCCACCACCACCACCCCCCACCCCCGTGCCTGCGCAGGTCCCCTCCGGCATTGGAAAATAAATAAAACTACTTTTTAAAAATTCAGCACTTCGCAGCAACTGTTTGTAAACAGCACTAGTACTTCAAAAGAAATTTTACTACAAAATTTCATGGTGTTCTGGTTGGATGCTTAAGGTCAGTACCTGCTAATAGAATATTGTCTTTGTTGAGATTCTTTTCAAATCAATTAATATTAGGCATCACACAGCACAAAGACCTTAAATTGGCACAATTTAACTTTCTTGTTTTACATTAATTTATTTTATAGGTTACAGGAGCCTGCTGCCTCTTCCTGGCTGGGAAAGTAGAAGAGACTCCTAAAAAGTGTAAAGACATCATTAAAACTGCTCGGAGTTTGCTGAATGATGTACAGTTTTCACAGTTTGGAGATGATCCCAAGGTAGTTTTTAAGAATATATATGAACAATGCCGTGAGTCACTAAAAAAAAGTACAAGACAGAATGTCTATGCTAATTGACAAAGAGTTACCCAGTCTAAACTCACCTTTCTGCACTTGATCCATTGTCATGCAGATCATGGCTCTTCAAGTAGATATTCAAGCACTTTTTCAACGTGGTGAGAGTTTTGACCTCTATTGCTCTTTCAGGCAGAGTGTTCCAGTTGTCTACCACCTTTTTGAGTGGAAGATAATTTAAGTACTGCAAAAATTGAACCACGTTGGTGTTCCATTGTACTTTCTCCTGTAGTATGGAGTCATTCAGGGCCCCAACAATTTTTCATGGAGTGAAGAAGTGTAGGTGTAAACAAAGATAATTTTATTCCAAGTATGATTGACTAACATTGATTGTTTCTTGATGGAACAGTGTAAGCCTACTTTTATCTTTACTGGACTGCAGTTGTTCTAGAGCTAAACATCTTTGCACTTATTTCTCTTCTAAGACGATATTGTACATCTGCATATTCAGTCCAATTGCCCCACCTTTTGACCACAAGCTTATTTTGAAAGGGAAAGGAGACAGAAATAGAAATAATCCAAAGAGGAAAGTGGGGGAAAAAAAAACAGACTTTGCAGAATAGGATCCAAAAGGATTCTTTTGTGTATGGGAGTTTGTATCTCTCAGCTCATTGTTCTATAGCCACTTTTGCAGTGATGTTTAGAGATAAATATGGCCCTCCCACTCTGCAGTGACATACTGTTCGCTCTGCTGATTTATATTTTAACTTGGACACTATTAATGTCAAAAGAAAATTTAGCTGCTGTAACAAAACTTTAAAATAGGTAAGCAGGAAAATACAAAACAGAAGTTTTTTTAAAAGAACCTTAAATGTTTAAAAACAGCAGTGGGAGATTTTGGGCTCAGCTGGATTTGGTATGCGAGGCAATCCATCAAAGGCTGTTACTGTTTTTTGTCTGAGATAGATTGTATTGAATGGATGACTAATTCAGTCAGGAATGAAATGAGTTTCTGAAAAAGGCAATTCTCTTATGTCCAATGAAATATTGTATGCATTTGATTTAGAGAAACTGTTCTCAGTTTGTTTACTCTATTGTTTGACCATTGCAATAACGTAACAAGAATGTACTATATTTTATGTTCCTCCATAAGAACATAAGATGTAGGAGCAGAAGTAGTGATTCAGCCCATGGAGTCTGCTTCATCTTCCAATGAAACCATGGCTGATCTGATAATCCTCACATCCACTTTACTGCCTTATCCCTGAAACCCTTGATTCCCTGAATGATTGATTGAAAATCTGGCTATCACTGCCTCGAACGCATTTAATGACTGGCATTGACAACTGTCTATAGTAAAGACTTCCACAGATTCACTACCTTCCGAGATTATACGCTGTAGTCACAGACTCTCCCACAAGGGAAAACAACCTCTCCACATCTACCATGTCAATCTCCTTTATAAGCCTATATGTTTCAATAATTTATTCTTCTAAACTCCATTTGGGTGAAAGCCCAACCTATTCAACTTTATAAGAAAATGCTTCCATTTGAGGAATCAACTTAGTGAACCTTCTCTGGACTGCCTCCAGTGTCAGTATATCTTTGTTTAGATAAGATCCAAAACTATTCAGTGTTTCAGGTATGATAAGACTAATGCTTTGTATAGTTTTAGCAAGACCTCCTTACTTCAAAGGAAATAGAGTATAAAAATAAACAGTTGCGGTCCATTTGACATCCATATTAATGGCTGAACTTGTATGCTAGTTTCCTTTGATTCAAGCATGAGACTGCTGAATCCTCTTCTGCAGGTTTCTGAAGTCTTTCCCCATTCAAATAATATTCAGCTGTTCTATTCTTCCTGCCAAAGTGCATAACCTCATGTTTTCCTATATTATATTCAATCTGCCTACACACTTTTGCCCACACACTTAACCTGTCTATACCACTCTGTAGATTTTTTGTTGTCTTACTGCTACCTGCTTTCCCATCTATTTTTGTGTCATCTGCAACCTTGACAGTACATTCGCTTCAGTCATCCTACCTTTGGGAATAGTTCTTTAAAAAGAAATACCAATGTGTGGTGGAGCAGGCTCATGGGGCCAAATAATCTACTCCTATCTTTCTCATGTTTGTCCAGCAATATTAAGTCAAATTGCTTCAGAAAAAATATGCTGTTTAGCAGTAAAATGCTATATATAAATGGAATAGTCCTAAGCATGCATATCATTTCTGTACTAATTTTAAACCGGGGTACCATATCTTTACGTATTCTGTGTTTCTTTTTGCCTTGTTTTTAAACTAGGAAGAAGTCATGGTACTGGAGAGGATTTTGTTACAGACCATTAAGTTTGACTTGCAGGTCGAACATCCCTATCAGTTCTTGCTTAAGTATGCTAAACAACTTAAAGGTACTGGAATTAAATGTTTATACAGAGTCAGTTTTGTTTTTAAATACTGCTTGTTTAGAATGGAAGGCACATCTCAAACAAAACTTAAACAACAATCTTCTGGTGACAATGTTTCTGAAGATAAATAATTGCAATAGTGTTCATAGAACACAGAATGGTACAACACAGGAATAGATCCTTTGGTCCACAATGTCAGTGCCAACCATGATGTCATTCTAAACTAATTCCATCTGCCTGCTCATGGTCCACAATCCCTTTATTCTCTGCCTATTTATGTCTGTCTAAATGCCTCTTAAATGTTGCTATCATATCTGCTTCTACCAACTCTCCTGGCAGCACGTCCAGGTACCTGTCAGCCTCTGTGTACAAAAACTTTCCTTACACATCTCCTTTAAATTTTCCCACTCTCTCTTAAACCTATGTCCCTAGATTTTGAAATTTCCACCCTCTGATTAACCATCTCTATCCGTGCCCCTCATAATTTTATATACTTCTATCAGGTTGCCCCCTCAGCCTCTGAAGTTCTAGCAAAACAATCCAACTTTGTCCTTTTATAGCTAATAAATTCCAGTCTAGACAGCATCCTGTCCAAAACCTCCACATCCTTCCTATAGCGTGGTAGCTAGAACTGCACACAGTACTCCAATTGTGAATGAATTAAAGTTTTATACGACTGCAGCATGACTTGCCAACTTTTACACTCTATGCCAGGACCAGTGACGTATGCTGTATGCTGCCTTTATCACCTTATCCGCTTGTGTTGCCACCGTCAGAGAGCTATGGGTTTGCACCCCAAGATCTGCCTTTATATCAATCCTCCTAAGGGTCCTGCCATTTACTTTCCTCTTATATTTGACCCTCCAAAATGCATCATCTTATATTTGCCCAGATTAAACTCCATCTGTCATTTCTTCGCCCAACTTTTCAACTGATCTTTATCCCAATGTATCCTTTGACAATCTTCTTCTCTATCATAGCTCCACCAATTTTCTTGTTTGCAGACTTACTTATCAGACTGCCTACGTTTTCATCCAAATTATTTTTATGCAACCAAGGCACTGATCCTTGCGGAACACCACTGATCACTGATCACTGACCTCTAGTCAGAAAAACTCCCCTGCACAACTACCCTCTATCTTCTATGATCCAATTTCGTATCAAATGTGGGGTGAAAATCATCGATTTTAAATCCTTAAATTTTCAAAAGGTGGTCCATTGCTAAATAAGCACTGATTGCATTAAAAGAAGACCCAGGTCAAGTTTGAATTAAAATAACCACCTGAATCCTACAACTTAATTCTAGCCCTGAGTTCACTTCTGAATTTGTTAGAATCATAGATTCCCTACAGTGTGGAATCAGGCCATTTGGCCCAACAAGCTCCACACCACGCCTCCGGAGAGCTTCCCACCCAGACCCATCTCCCTACCCTTTCACTGTAACCCTCCATTTCCCATGTCTAATCCACCTAATTTACACACCCCTGGACGCTATGGGCAATTTAGCATGGCCGATCCACCTAACCTGCCTATATTTGGACTGTGGGAGGAAACTGGAGCACCCGGTGGAAACCCCTGCAGACATGGGGAGAATGTGCAAACCCCACACACAGTCGCCCCAGGGTGGAATTGAACCCGGGTCCCTGGTGCTGTAAGGCAGCAGTGCTAACCACTGAGCCACCGTGCCGTTCTGTGATAAACCTTTCTAGTAGTGGTTTTGTTTGAATTGTGCACATTGCTGACAATGCAGCTTGCTCTATAACATATTAATTGGTCACTAAAGGATTGGTGACTTGTGCACTGCTGCACGCTTGCTGTAATGATATGGGAGTATGTATATATTATGCATGCACACGCTTACAGCATATGTGAGTTTGTAATGTGGTTATAAGAAGTAAGCAGTGCAGTGATAACTATGCAATCCATAAGTAGTTCAGCATGCACATTCTAATCAGATATTAAAACCCATGAAAAATAAAATGGCCTGGCTTGCTGTTCCAACAGTGCTGAGAGAACTTATTTCAATGTATTCTGCCTCTGAATTTTTAACAACTTCCTGACGGTGAGTTTTGCAAGTTTCACCATTGCAATTGATTTCTCTGCAATTGCATTCCAGGATTATCATATCCAGTAATTGGTAGGGCTTCCCCTAGTGGAGGCATGAACTGAAGCAGAAATGGCTGCTGTGGAGCTTCTCCCCACTCCCCTTGGCTAACTCATGTTTTCTCTCCCTTCCAGTCTCATCTCCTGGGTGAAGTCACCCCATCCCCACCCCACCTCTCAATTTTCACCAAAGGATCATGACAATTTTCAAGCCTTGAATGGGGTCACTGTGGGAAGAGGTTTGGGAAGCACTTCTTTGTGGTTTGATGTGAGATGTCTAGTAAATCCTAGTAATTTGAAAGACCCAAAGACATACCAGGTTATGCTTGACCATCACCCCAATGCTATTCCATTTAGTCTTTTGCTTATTTAATTGTCTATATAGAATCTAAGCCTGCAATTAAACTCCATCTGCCATTTCTCCGCCCAGCTTTCCAACTGATCTCTATCCTACTGTGTCCTCTGACAACCACCTATATTATCCACAACTTATGTTGTCTTGGATGCTTCACTTGTGGTTATTCCTTCACTTCCTGGTAAGGTTTTTTGATTCGATTCTTGCTGGGATACATTTTCCTGGGCACTCAACCCTCTTGGGCTGATGTTTGGCCAATGTCCATTCTGTCAACTCCTAACAGTGTTATTTGAGTATGGATAGGAATTGAAATTCTATGTTATTATCATTTAGCCATTTCATGAACTATTGAAAAATTTCAGATTCGTAGCAGGCTTTGAGAGGATAAATGCACAGTTGTTGTTTACCCATGCTGAAGAGTTCAAAACATTAAGGACAAAAATGAGAAAAAAATTCCTTGACTCGGGTGTTTCTATTTGAATTTCTCCACCCCAGACAGTTCTGGTACTTTATGTGCTGTATTATGGAATACATTTAGGACTGAGCTCAGTTAATTTTTGGATACTAATGGATATGGGAAATGGGAAAGTGGATCAAAGTAGAAAATAAGCTGTGAGCTTATTAAATTGCAGACCAGGATTGAGGGGCCATACAGCCTAGTGTACTCTTATTTCTTAAGTACACACTCTCGGGGTCAAGGTCATCAGCAAGTCACCTCAACTGTTGTCTGTGTTTCCCCCACCCTGGCTGTGACCCCTCCATTCTCCCTAATAGGAAAAAAACTGGAGTTTGCAGCTATATTTACTGGTTGCCTTGGCTCTGTTTTTTCCTTTTTCTTCACCTGTTGGCAGAAACAGACCAGGAGCCAAACCTGCAATCTTCCTTACGAAGTACTTGGCCTCATGCATTTACAATTTACCTAATTGCAGTATGTTGGATTGGGGTTATGAGCTCGTGGTAGTACATCTTCTGACATGAGCTTAAATCATGAATATATTTCTAAACATACCACATAGTACATTTAAACATTTGAAGCAGGGTGTCTAACCTGCAGCCTGAGTGTCACATGAGCTCAGAGCCCTAAATATCTCATCTGCAAAGCTTAGAAAGCTTTATTCTGTTTCTACTTATTTCTAATTCTTTAATTTGTCCTGAATGACTTTTTTGCAGCCTGGAAATTTGAAGAGGGCTGTTTTTAGATGTAAAGGCAAATTCTAAACCTGAATACTAAGATAAAATATCATCACCTTGGGGTATATGCAGATTAATGGGGATGTTAACTTTATGGGTACGCTGGAGGCTCCATGGGATATCAGGAGCCAGAAAGCTTGGGCACCCTGAGTTAAATGATCAGCCTTTGGGTTTTGGCAAAACAAGGCAAGGATACTGTTAATGCCTTAAAGTTGGAAAGCTCACTAAAATGTGTTTTCAAATGTAATGTGAGAATAATGGTCAATTGCACTTCAGTGCCAACAGATACAGTTTTAAAGTACATTAGGTAAATTAAGACCTTGATCCTAACTGTCCTTTTCTTTTTAATTCATAGGTTTTGAACTTAGAGGTTACACATAATGTTAGTCCAATTTTCTCTCTCTGCAGGTGACAAAAATAAACTTCAAAAGCTGGTGCAAATGGCTTGGACCTTTGTAAATGACAGGTAATTTTTTTAAAAATCTACTGTAAAATTAAAACCATAAAAGCCTATTTGGGCATTAAAAGGATATAATTTAGTATGTATAAGAGCTAAATTTTTGAGCTCTTTTCCTTATCCTAATGTACCTTTTGTGTTGTAGCCTGTGCACCATGCTTTGTCTACAGTGGGAGCCAGAGATCATTGCTGTGGCTGTGATGTACCTAGCTGGTAGGCTGTGCAAATTTGAAATCCAGGAGTGGTCAGCAAAGCCCATTTACAGAAGGTGGTGGGAACAGTTTGTACAGGATGTGCCTGTGGAACTACTGGAAGGTACAGTAAACAGTCCAGATTGCTAAGACAATGTTGGCAATATCATTTCAAGGAAGTAGCGCGAGTTTGCATGTTTCTAGACTTTTACTTTTCGGATATATTTATTTATTTTAAAAATGCTTCTTATTGAATTTAACATGCTATGGTATAAGTTATTTTGCCAAGCTTGTGTTTATTTTTTGACATGCCATTGGCTTCTTAGACTGTAATGATCAAGATGTAAAGCTAAATTTGAAAGAGGGTGGAGGAAAGAAAATTCTAAACCTGGTATAATTTATGTAATAGTAGTGATTCATAGTCCCATTAAACTAACTCAGTGCTTTAGCGATTTGAAGGATCAATCATTTTAGTAAATTTTAATTGATATTCCTTTACACAAGAATGAAACTATTGTGTATATAAAATTAAGGTTCCTCTCCTTTGTAACCCAATTCAGTTGCTTTACCTTTTCCAAACCCTAGATTGATTGATTGTTTTTTTTTTAACCTTGATCTATTGTATAAAAGCCATATAGTTGACTACGTGTTTCTTTCTACAGTTAAAATAACTAATTATCTTTTGGTCTTGCGTAGACATCTGTCATCAGATACTGGACCTTTATTCCCAGGGTCAACAACAGATGCCCCAGGCACCCCAGCCACAACTGCCAACAATCCCAAGTCTGGAGCAACCGATACCACCACTGCAGGTGCAGCAGACAAAAAAGCTTTCACCTCAGTCAACACCACCTCGGCAGATTAAACGGCCTGCAGTAAGTGGAAAAAATACAAATATATTATCATTTCTGCTCAAGATGTATTCTTGGTGATTGACGGTGCAGTCTGAGAATGAAGTAAAACATGCTGTGGCACTCTATTTTATTCTACTGCAAGTTCAGTTGTTGTGTTGTTTCTGCTGTATTGTTATGTTGTGTTTTAACATTTTATATTTGCTTCTTTTATTATTAGGTGGCTTCTCCAAAGGAAGATGGCAAGACAATTGGTAACATTTTTAGGCTTTAACCTTTGCACCCACATATTTATTGTACTACATTTGTGTATCTTCCGAAGGGGATCTGTAATCCAAAATAGCCAAATTTGCCAAGTAACCCCTAGAAGAAATTGTCAAAAAGGTTTCATTTTATAAACACCAACCATAATTCATGTAAATTGAACAGCCAAATCTTAATTTAAATAAGAAAGTTAATTTTGTGTTAAGTAGTCAATATGATAAAGTTACATTTTGCAGGATCACAAGCACCCCATCGCTCCCTGCACAAATATAACAATACATAATTAGAGTCCGACCATATACTGTTCTTCGTTTGCACAGGTAGGTCAGGAGTTCTATACAACAACTGCTTTTACCTTTTGAGTTTCATGTGTGCCATTCTCTGCAGCATCTATTTTGGCCAAGCAGAATCTCTCGTTCTCAGAGAAATGTGTTTTTTTTCTGGCAAGGATATAATATGTTGATCCTCCTGTTTTGTATTTTATTTGAGTCTTTATTTGATAAGATAGTTGTCTTCGGTCTCCTAGATGTAGCTCTCCTTTGTGCCTGCAGCTGTTTAGTGTGAATGCCATGGACATAATTTCTGGTCTGAACCTCTTTCTTTGGTGGCAATGCTTACAGGTCAAGGCTTTCTAGGTGACATAGAAAATGCAAATTTTTTTTAATACACACTATTTCATATTAACCAAGAAAACTGCAATTTATACAAACTCAAGTCCTTTTCAAACATTCTTAAAATGTCTGTGAAATCTGTAATTTTTAAAATTACAAGTTTTCTTTACTGTACTGCTTCCAGGTCAAAAGTTATCACAATTGTTTGTTTGTGTATGAGTGGATTGCCTGGCTAATTCGGGTCAATATCTATGTGCTTTAACTTCTTATGTAGTCATGGATGGGTAAGGTGGCAGATTTATCTTCCTGAAGGTCATTCATGAACATTTGAGTTTTAATCATGCAGTTTTTATGATTTATATTTTCTGGAACTCGCCTTCAAAGTATCAGAGTATTTATTTCTTGTGTTTTTGTATTTCTGTAAATATCTGAAATCTGTCTCTCAAATTCCACAGAGCTACAGCCTCCTAAAATTCCAAAGTTGGAAACCCCACACCCGGTATTACCACCAACTACCCATCCTCCTCCAGGTGAGCTTTTTAAAATTTCTGCCAGTAAATTGTATACTTTTGCTCCAGTAAAGTAGTAAGTGCATCCATATTTTTATTAGTTTGTTTTATTAGCCATTTATTAGCTGTTTCACAGTTGTTGCATTCATTTAATGTGATGGCCTGTTGCAAGCTGACTATCAATGGGTGTTTTTAAGAGCACAGTTGAGTGGATAGAGTGAGTACAAAGCTTCTTCCTTTTGGAAGATCTGAACTAATATCATTGCAATTACAGTTTGTATGCAGGCAAATAAGTTTGGACTATTTTGTATGACTCCTAACTTCAACATCTGAAGTGGAATTTTAACTGTCTTTTTACTGTAGGTGGGGTGTCTGCTGTTACACTATATCAAGAAGTTAATATAATCACTACGATTCAATTTATTTCACTACCTGTAAAATGCTTTGGGGCATCCTGAGTTCTTGAAAAGCACTATAGAAATTCAAGTTATTTGTATTTCCAAGTGGGCATTTCTTGCAATGCCAGCCTTCGCTCATTCCTAATCTCTGTTGAAAATGAGCATCAATTAAAATGGGATCATGTTGGAAAGTAGTTTGCTGTAGTCATTTGCTTCACTTTGCATGTGCATACAGTCATGTTCTATTGTTAGTGTGGACTTTGTCCTGCATTGAATTGAAATGCAGAGGTCACTTTGGTGACTTTAAGTGTATTGGTTCACAGCCTTGATGGTAGTTTTATCTTAACCTCTTGAAAAATACAAGTTCCACCCATTTGAAGTTGCCTAGCAACACTTGCACTACAGTGCAAATCATTAAAATGTGCCATAATTACATGATTCCTTGTGACCAATTATTTTCATTACTTTGTCTTTGTCTACTCTCCCTGGGTAAAAGTAGCATCTCCTTAATTTTTTCCCCCCACATTCCTGTTCCTGTTTATTAATGCTTAGTTAGTGAGCAAGAATCCTATATAAATGATTGTGCTGTACCACTTTGTTTCCACCTCCTGATTCCAAATTTTATTGCACCTTCAACCTTCCTGACCAGCAGTTTCTTTGCCTGTGATAATCCTGTGGTACCAATATAGCTATCCCCATAAAGTCTGAAGTTGCCCTAATATGCCTCCATTGTTCCAGGAAGGATCATGGTAACAGATATTTGGCTGTTTATTCAATCATCAGTCTAAGGACATTAAAATCCACTGTAATACCATTTAGGGTGAAATCAATCAAAACGGATTTTCTTTGCTGTGTATGGCTCAAAATGTTGCATAGACACGTTTGATATTCAAATATACCAAACTCATGAGACTGTAATGTAATTATATCAAACTAATAAAGATAGTGAAAATGAGGAGTGGACAAATGATTGATCTCACTAGTGTATTATCTGGATATCTGCAGTTAAACCGATCAGATTTAACCCCCTCGTTAACGTTCAACAAAGAAAAGTTGTTCCTCTGCTCAGTTAGTCAGGAGATGTCACTTGAATGGGAAACTGGAAGGAGCCAGATTTTCTCACTGCTTTGTGATGGTTATCTGCTAACGCAAGCACTGTTATCCTGGGTCAATGCAAATGGAAAAAGACCAGTCTACGTTCCATCTACCCGGTTATTAAGCTTTGTATGAGGGTGAAGGAAAGTAACGTTCAGCCATAACACAATCATTCTCAAAGACAGACATTTTTTATTCTCATGGGATGTGGGCATCGCTGGCTAGGCTAGCATTTATTGCCTGCCCCTGGATGCCCTTGAATGTGGTGGTGAGCTGCCTTTTTTGAATGTAGTTTAAGAACCCATTTTTATTTCTGCAAATATCCTGTTTTCCATCTACCCAAACTCCTTGCTGAGGATCTGGAAGAAGGGTCCCGAACCAAAATGTCGACTTTCCTACTCCTCTAATGTTACTTGACCTGCTGTGTTCCTCCAGCTCCACATTGTGACTCTGACTCCTGCATCGGCATCTCTTGCTGAGGTGTGATGTGCTGATTGTGCTTTGATACCACCCCCAAATTATATCCTTCATAGTTGGGAGTATCTATAGGTTGTTAGACCTGATTGATTTGTCACAGCACTGTTGCCTGTGTCTGTTTCTGGATTTTCTCCGTTTTTCTGTCCCCATTGCCCCCAAGAACAAGGGATTGCTGCTTGCTTTGTTCATCGGTAAAGTTGTTCTATATTTGTTACATACTTGAAGTTAAAATGTACCTTTTTTCTTCAAATTGCAGAACGCAAACCATCCATAAGTACAGGGTCAAGCATCATAGAAAGTGAACCACCTCCAGCAGGAAATGCCTCGGAAGTGGCTAAACCTTCTATTCCACCACCTCTTCATCCTCCTACTGTACACCAACAGCCACAGATTCCTCAACGGCCTCCACCCTCTGCTGCTTACATAATGGGAATGTCGACAACAAGCTCCTACATGTCTGGAGAAGGTTTCCAGAGTCTGCAGTCCATGATGAAGACTGATGGACCCTCATATGGAAGCATGCCATCTTATGGACCTCCAACCCATGTCCCTTACCACCCACATGTGTACCCCAATCCATCTGTGCCTCCTCCCACAAATTATCCACCCAACATCCCCCCTCCTAATCCAGGATATCCCCCGCCAGGGTACAATCCTACTTACTTGCCGCCTCCTCGGATTCCCCCAGCACACACTGTGCCACCTCCGCCAGCACTAGGTCTTCCGCCAACCAGCTATCCTCCCCCCACAGTACCGCCTGGGGGGCAACCTCCTGGACCACCACCGCCACCACCACCAGGCATGCCACCTGTGGCCGGTCTGAGTCGTGGAGGTTGGTTGAGGTAATGGATGTTTGGACTTTGGTAATTGTCAAGTGTAAGTTGGTTTCTCTCAAGGTTTGGGGTGGCCCTAAAAAAGGTTTAGATTGTCTTGCGTCCCACGTCGGAGTGATGTTGCCGATGCATATTGTTCAACTGATGTTAATACTTCAGTTTTATTTTCTATCATACGCTGCCAGTTTCTGAGGTGCAGGAAAACTAAGAAGAGTTTTCGTTTTGCACTGATGCCTCATCTTTTCTGTTTAGCCACCTTTCTTCCCCCTCTCCATCCCAGCCAAGTATGCTCCTGCAACTTGCTGTTTCTGCTGCTCTTGTCTGCAGTTAAAATGCACCTGCTCTCGAAGCATCCAAGTGAAATCAGTTACCAGAAGTTTCATAATATTTTGTAGAAGCTATCCTCTACTTTACTTTCTGCTGAACAGTTTTTGGCTTGGTATGTCCCAATTAGGACTTTTGCTAATGTTGATAACTTGGACAGATCTTGGTTAGTGGATGAGGTAAAAAATGAATTAAAGGAGAGCTGAGATCCCAGGTTTGTATTTTGACATGTGTTGGACCTGTCTTTGACGTGGTTGCTGATGGGCTGTGGAAGGTATGAGTCGAATTGAATTTGATTATGCTGGAGGTCACTACAGATTTCTAATCTCTATTAAAAAGTAACTGCTGTCACTTGAGAGCAAGTAAGAAAGTTTTTCTAATATTTGTGTTCTTGCCTAAAAGGCAACAATAGTAAACATGTTCTCAGTTTACACTAATTGGTTATTCCTCATCCATCAGCTCAGACAGACGGTTAATGGTCAAAGAATTTAAGCTAGAGAGTTATCACTCTAGTCTCATTTGAGACAGCACATCATCAAATATCGTCAAGGCTTGTTGAGCAGTGACCAGGAACAGGCACACAGTCCCACACAATAAATTTTCCTCTTCGTATTCGAATGGAGAATTTGTGAAACCAGTTATGTGAGCTCTGTCATGCCTTGAATTGCAAACATTGAATTCACGGATATAACTTGATCAATACGAGTTGGATTTTTGGAATCATCTGTTGACTCGGCTGGAGTTTAACCCTTGCGTGGCTTCTGTCTTACCCCTACACCTGTTGTAAAATTAACTCTCTCATCACTAATTTCATTTTTAAAGTAACAAACTCCTGACTGGAGGGAAGGCATTGGTTTAGACATGGTAGTTTACGTATAGTGAGCTGTGGTAATTCTTGTGTCTTTGTCATTTATATCACCTCTTTCTGTGCCGAGGTAGAGATTTTGGTTTGCTTCTTCTGAGCTTACCACCCCAGGTGGTGACAGTAACTGTTCTCCCTTGGGGGTTGTCATACCCATTCAAAGATATCCACACATCCGGAGTTGCCAAAATTTCTCTTGCTGTCTCTTACTCTCTATACACCCCCAGTGCAAGGAAGCTGAAACCAGTTGTTGTACTCTGGTTGTTGTAACAGCTGTGATTACTGGTACAATTTGCATGAGCACTGGCTCTAACTGAAATCATCAGGTTACATTTTCATTATATTACTCTAATATGTTTGTAAAAACAACTAGTTGAAGTGTTTTTTTATGTGGATTGATTTCTTACCTTAAAGAGGTGGAATTGATCTCTTGTTTATATTCCCAGAACTGCTGCTTTTCCAACCTCAATATTGTCTTTCGATGGAAGGACCAGGAAAAAAAAAGTCTGGGCAATGTAGCCTGGGCCATGAACTTTGGCTTCTGGTTTGAGAAAACAGGCCTGCACCACTGCTGCAGCAGTCAGGACTGTATCCTTGGAAATAAATGCTTGTGTTCAAAAAGATATAATAGCATCTGAACTTTACTAACTTCTAAAAGTACAATACGGCAGTGCATTGGTTTATGCTGGTCAAATTATTACAGTTCATTGATTTATGCTGATCGAGTGACTGTTCCAATCAATATCTCAGATGTACACTGACGTGATTCATGCTTTTAGATCTCAGTTGGAACACTCCACTTGGACGATTGAGAGTTTTTAAACTGGTCTTTTTTTCCCATTAGTTTAGATCCTCTATTTTTCCAGTTGTCTGTATAACTTGAGAATTCTTTGTAATTTACTCTTTCTCTGTAGGCAATTTGTCTATAGGTAGAATTGTTTATTTTTCCAAGAAGTGTCAAAGCCTGAATGTAACACATGAGATTGTACTGTGAGCTAGGCATTGACCAGAGTATTGTACATTTAGTGGCTAATTGCAGCCTAATAAATTTGATATTGGAGCCAATTTATCCATTTATTTTTGAAAAGTTCTTTCATTGTTTCACAGCTGTATGTTAGGTTTAGTACAAGTTTGGAAAATCTGGACAATTAGATCTGAGCTGTGAATTACTAATGTGCAAATAGGCTGGACGTAACCAGTCTGTTAGCAAAGAGAATTAGCAGTTGATCTAGAACATATCCAAACTGAGAGCATCCCCTATCTGAAGAGAAGATATTTCCTCAAGAACTCAGTCATTTATTTTTGCAAAATTCACTTTCATTTGGATTCTCTTGCTCTTTGCTCCATCCTGCCAGTCCTTCCTTTCTAGAAATTGTTGGCTTTGTTCGGTACAGTTCCATGAGTACCAGTGCTTCCATGTTTTCTTGGCTAAAACACCTCTCTTGTGATCCCAAATACCATGTATTGGCTACTTTCTTGGACCCTGGCTCCTTGGGGCTCGGATTCAGATCTGGTCCAGAATGTTGATCCAAATAAAATCTTCTAAAATAAATGTGGACACACTCAATCCAATAACCAGGTAAGCTTAGATCAACAATGCAAAGCTGCACCTAATTCAGCATTGTTGCATGTCGAATCATATTGGTACTGAAGCACTTGGTGTGCATTCCACGTTGTTGCCATCAACACAAAGATATTCAAGTTATTGCGGGTTACTCATAAATGATTAGTTCAGCCACAGCTGGAGTACGGCATCCAGTTCTGAGCACCACACTGTAGGATGGATGTGAATATATTTGGAGAGGGAGGGGAAGAGGTGTGCAAAAAGCTTCCAGGGATGCAGGTTGGATGGTCTTCCTTGGAAAATACAAGACTGCGAAAGATCTGATAGAGGTAGATGCATCTTGGTGGGGACAGAGCGTTCCTACTCGTGAAAAGATTGAGAAACAAAACGGCTTAAGAAAATGTTTTTCTGGGCAGCAAGCGTTTAGGTCTGGAATGCGCGGCCTGGAAGTACGATGGAGGCTGGTGTAATTGAGGAATTCAAAAGGATATTAAACTATTATTAAAAAGGATGAATGTGCAGCATTACATAGAGGAGCACGAAGTGAATTGCTTATTGGGTGGACCAGTACAGAAATGATGGAATGAATGGTCTCCTTCAGCACTGTACTAATCTGTGATATTGCAAGCATGGTAACATTGATCATTGGAAAATCCATCTTTGGGGCATCATTGGATTTAGTCCTAGATCTGGAAGACAAAGTTTTGAGCATCAGCAATGTGAGTAAAATAGTTGTTCATCACTCAGTTACAGCAATAAGTGGCATGACCCACCCTTGGGCACTGCAAGGACCACTGTTCAGTGGGCACTGGCAGCAAGTTAGTCATTTAGTCTTATAACTTTATTTTTCTGGTTACAGCTTTTATTAACTGCCTGTATATGACATGGTTTATCGGTTGATGGCAGGGCAAACAAAATCTGAGAGCAAGGAGAGTGCCAGAGAGTCTTTATCCTGCCAAATATTAGGAGCATGTCATAGTGGTGTATGAGTGGGTGGTAGATTATTGTGATTTGCAGAACTTCTCAAAGTGTGATCCCAACAAGACAACTGAAATTGGAGAGTTTTCAGCAACCTCCAAACCCTCAGCTCCTTATTTACTTGCCATTAAATTCCAGGAATGGGTGTGCAAGTTACTTCTCATTGCACTGTTGTGGATCAGGGAAGCTAATATTGAAAGTTTTGTGTTATATTACCTGGAGTAGATTTTTTTTTTACAAAAAACACTTCTTTGACCTTTTAAATGGCTAAATTGCAGAATTACAGGACTAAATTAGGTAGCTCTTTCAAAGAGCTGATAACATGGATAACAGAATTACAAGGCAGGCAGCTATTCAATGATTCTATCTCAGATATTGCTGCATTTCCAACGTTTTCTGCATTTTATTGCTGATTACCAGTATTCATCGTTTTGTTATTGCTTATGGGAGAGCTGGCTTGATTTGTCCCAATTTGTCAAAATAATTCCACCTGCACCCTAATGGGAAAAAAAGACCAGTGGAAAGAAACAACAAACAATCTGAAGAAAAAGTTAGATGCTGCAAGCTCCCGAATGCACTCTTCCATTATTTTGTTGCTAACCTGGTTTCAAACAGGGATCCATAAATTGGGCAGCAACTAATTTGCTGTTATACTTTGTAATGTGTACTTTAATACAGCAGAGGGCGTTTTGGGACCATGATGGCAGTAAGGATGAGCAGTTAGGATTGCTCTTCATTCAAATCAACTTTACTTTAGAAGCAATAAGAAACAGCAGATGTGACTGGCAGTGATTCGTAGCTTAATTCACTTTCAACTTTTTGTTCCCCTTTTAGCTTCCAGCCTCCACTTTCCATGCTCACAGTGAGCATCACTGCTGTCTCCATGTGTGACTAGAAATCTATCTTGATGCAATGAGTGAAAGGGGAACTTGAACCTGAATTCATGTGCACTGTTGTTACTGAGTATTGATCTGCTTGGGCCCAACTTCAAAATTTGGAAATGACATGAAGCTCAGCAGTATCGTGAGCTATAAGAAGGTCGGTGATAGACCTCAAGAGTGTACTGGTCACCATAGTACTACAGGCCTGCTGTCTTAGACATGACTGGTAGTGAATTTAACCTGAGAGTCACTGTGCTTCAGGTGAGGGGGGGATGTTGAGAAGGTGGGGCCTTCACAGTGACCTCAGCCAGTGTGGTATGGAACCCATGCTGTTGGAGTCACTCTGCATTGGAAGTCAGCCATCAAGCTAAGTGAACAAACGGAACCCCAGTAGAGGGTGTAATGACAATGGAATGGACCAGCATTTGGTAAATGAAATTTAAAGCACAGGTGTGAACTGATTCATTTTGGTTGGAAAAACAAGGAGGCTATATAACAAGTTCTAGAGTGAGAGTCACCCCTTGCCATGTATGGAACCAATCTTTTACTGTTGGTTTCATTCTGTCTTTGTAGTTTAGAACAAAATTGGATGCCTCTGTAGCCAGTAAACTAGTACAAGAACTCTGAATAGCAGTGGAAGGATGACCTTTAACTCAGTGTATTCTGTCATTCTATTGTCTCTTCCCTCATTCTACCAAGTAATTTAAAATAATACAGTAAGATGTGCTAAGGGTAACACTGATAAGTTCAACTATTGCAAGTTAACTTATGAAATGCTTTAGATTTGCTAACAACTGGAAGATACCAATGTTCATAAGCCCAGAAAAGGGCAATTTATTAGCCATTTTAAAAATAGAAGCCTTAAGTTCTGACCACTGCCAATTAGTGAATGCAAGTTTCACCACCCATTGTTGCTAAGGATATTACCCCTTCTGTGTTCCCGTGAAGAATAACAGCTGAGTGATGTACCAGAGGCTGACTGGACAAAATTGGAGAACTGACGGTCATTAGGTTCTAATCCAAAGAATCCATGCTAATCCAGAAAGATGACCATTAGTTAAGAGGTAGGTGATCCAGAGGGCAGTAGGATCTCAGCCTTGGCAATTATCCAACAGTTTTGATGTTCCTTAGATTGCAGTTTCTCTCCTTTTCTAGACAAGGTGGATCAGCTAACAAACCATGGGATTGTGGTACAGGAAGCCATTCAAAATGGGGAATGATGGGAAAGAGGTGGCAAGGGGACAGTATAGTGAGAGGGCTTGATACAATTCTCTGGAACAATAAGTACGAGTCCAAAAGTCTGTAGATGCCTTCTCATTGCCAAGGTTTGGGATATTTGCTCATGACTGGAGAGGAACTGGCATTGGGAGGAGGAGAATCTTTTGATGTGATCTATGTTGGTACGAATACATGAAGGAAGACAAAAAAGGAGGTTCTGCATAGTCAGTAAGAGAAACAAGGCACCAAATTTAAGCAAGACATCAAACGTCAAATTCTTTGGATCATTGCCTGAGCCACGAGCAAACCTGGTAGAGGGCAAATCCAATTAGAAAGGTGAGTGCATGATGTGGGAGAAATAGGTTGCAGTTCATTGGGTACTGGCACAAGTTTGGGGAACGTGGAACCTTTGTCAATGGAACAGTATCTGCCTGAACCACGCTGGGGCCAGTGTCCTTGCTGACTGCAGAACAATAGAAGATTTCAAAATCAAATTTGGAAGATATGATCAATCAAAGAAGAGTCTAGGCCAAAGAAAAGGCCATCAATATAGAAAATGAGAAGCAGACCAAGACACAAAGAGTGTAAGAGAGTGTAAATCAAAGAGTCAATCAATAGATTAGATTAGAATTTTAAATCAAGTAAAAGGATAAAGCTAAAGGCTTTATATCTGTATGCATGTAGTGTTTGACACAAGACAGGTGAAAAGCACAAGTAGAAATGAGAAGTTAGGATCTCGTGTCATTAAAAAGATATGACTGCAGGATTGCTACCTGAATCTTGAAGGATACAGGACATTTAAGAAGGACAGGGAACTAGGAAGAGTTGGAGGTTGATACTCCCAGTTGATGGTATTTCGCACAATATAGAGGGATAACCTCGAATCAGGAAACTAAGATGTGAAAACTCGAGCAAAAGCAAAATATTGCAGATGAAAGAAATCAAAATGCTGGTTTGGCAACATCCATGGAGACAGAAACAGCACTAATACTTCGAATCCAGTCCTGAAAAAAGAGTTGTACTGGACTCATTTTCCACTTGGGAACTCTAACAGCGTTCTGAGCTCAATATTGATTTCAACAATTTTAGGGCTTGAGGCACCTTCACATGTGCTTACCCCAACATCCACACACCAGGCCCTGTTATCAAAGTGTGGATTTTCTGAAGAAGGGTCGTGACCTGAAACATCAGCTTTCCTGTTCCTCTGATGCTGCCTGGCCTGCTGTGTTCCTCCAGCTCCACACTTTGTTATCTCTGACTCCAGCATCTGCAGTTCTGACCGTCTCAGACCCAGTTATCACCACCCATTGTCAGCCAATAATTGTCCACTAATAACTATTCATTCTCCTAGGCTAATTGTTATCTACTTCTTTGTCTGCCCAACTGTTGTCTCCCCTCTCTTCCCTCCACCCTGCCTCCCAACCGCTC